CATCCCAGACTTTCCCTGCACCCCATCCTGCCTACCAAGCACCTTCCACCCTTGCACCTCTCTCTGTCACTCATTTCCTGGTGGGGAAATGCTCTGGGACACAGCTGGGTCTGCACAGGTGGTGCTGCCGCGCTGCTGCAGGGCAGCGACGCTGGGGAGACGGGGGAATTCCCCTCTCCGTCGTCAGCGTAACGAGCACCCCTGGTCATTTCACCCAGCGCTGCAGGCTGCAGCCGCATGTTTCTCTCTCTGCATCCTTTTTAGCTCCCCAAAAAATGTTGCCCAGGCAGAATTTGCCGCTTCTGAGCCCTGGGATGCAGGAGCCCCATGCAGGGAGCTGGGGGAGCCCACTGTCCCCAGCAGGCAGGGAAGGCTGTCCCTAGCAGGCAGGGATTTCTGCCTGCACCTGGATCACGCAGCAGCTCCAGCCCAGCAGCCTCCGGTGGGGCCCAGGGGTGTCACGGGCTGAACGGATCCATGGAGAGTGGGAAGGGAAGCAACTTGGAGCCAGATATGGCAAATGGGGACAACGCTCGGGGAAAGGATGGGGAGCAAAGGTGAACCACAGCTGTCACCACTCTGGCGGGCTTCGGGGAGCCGGGAAAAAACTGTAAGCATCGTCTTCCTTCCTCAATCCACTCAGCTCATCCCAGGAACGGGCAAACCGTGGTGGCTTTATCTCCTCCAACTTAAGAGATACCATCAAGGAAGGGGGAGAGGAGCTAGATGTCTGGGGGAGAGCTTTGCCACAGCGATTGCCCCTCGGGGTGCCACCCAGCACGGGGCTGAGCCCAGAAGTAAACAGCAGGGGGGTTTCCAGAGACACCCCAAAACCGCCCCCGCCTCCCACCACCGCCTCATGTGAAGGGGAAACCCCAGCACCCCTGGAAAAGCCGGGAAGTGCAGGGTGCTGCTGGGGGGAAAAAGCGAGCAAGGGGAAACCCGCCAGGCTGGAAGGTTCTGCATGGTGGCCTTCCGCCGTGGTGTCACCCCGTGTCAGCGAGGAACAAAACAAGCCGGGAGCGGGGAGCTGCCGTCAGCCCGCGGCTCATGAATGGGCCTAAGAATAGATTTCCTGTTTACTGAACGAGAAATTGCTTCTGGGGCAGAGGGCACCTGGGTGCTATTTTTACCAGCTTCTGCCCAGCCCCCTCCAGGCCCCCAGTTGCCCTCCGGGACC